AGTTCTCCGCTGTCGAGGTCGACTTCGGTCGCACAATCTGAAGCTGGATTGGACAGTAAAACGTCTGGCACGTTTGATAGCCATTTCCGGGCATGCATCCCAGCAGAGTCCCATAACCTTGACAGCTGGCTGTACAACTCTACACCGGTCTTGACATCAGGAACGGAGTCCATGCTGTCATCCATGTACGTGCTTTCCAAAACAGTTTCCCCGCTAGGGGAAGTTCTGACTGGCGTTGTCTGGCATGTTCTTGAGCAACAAACTGTGCTTGGAATGGGGACGAGTTCACTCCGAATACAACTCTGTCAAACTCAAAGACGTCAGGTTCTCGGTCAGACTGCAAGTCTCGCCACAAGAAGCGATGATAAGGCTGATCTTCAGGTCTTAGCTTAATCTGCAGGTACATTCCTGAATGTCGCACATTAGGGCCACAGGATTGCGGCGAAATCTCAATAGTACCGCAAACAAGTCTTTCTGGAGTTTAGGCCCTTGGAGTACAATGTCATTCAGAGATACGTCACTGAATTTCGCTGACGCGTCAAACACAATACGAGTCTTGGTGGTCGGTTTGTCAGGCTTCAAGACTGGGAAATGGGGCAGGTACCAAAGTTAATCAGGCTTGACCTCTTCATGTGGGACTTTGTGGATGTATCCCTTCTCTTGATAGGTCTGCAGTACTTCTTTGTAGACTTCACCGAGTTCTGGGGACCGCTTCAATTTCTTCTCAGTACACTGTAGACGACTCAAGGCCATGCTGTAATTGTCAGGTAACGATGGTCGATCCTGTTTCCAAGGCATGCCAACAACATAGTGGCCATCAGTGAAGGTCAAGGACTTAGCAACAGTGTCCCTTGCAAGCTTCTCATCTGGTCTGACAACCAGAGTTTCTTTAGGTTCATCAATGTCCCAGTAATGGCAGACAAGACTGTTCAATTCATGCATGTCATTCAGAAAAAATGTAAGATTTGTCTGAACTTCTTCCATGGGGATTTCTCGGTTCCCAATACACGTCCAGCCAAGCGGAGTCAGTCTTGCTATGGGCTCTCCTGCCTTTACCCTGAGATCCTCCAACGAGTACAGTAAGTCTGCATGGTCCACAGCAATTAGAAGATCAACAATTGGTCTTGGTCCAACCTGAGGGAACTTGATACCTTTCAGATGCTTCCACTTGTGCTTATGTTTACTCCAGTCCACCACTTGCATACTTCCAGTCACTCTCTCGTCTGTATAGGCTGAGGCTAGTTTGGACACCTTTCCATCAGAACTGCTGATCATGAATTCCACAACTGTGGTGGCCAATGTTTCTTGATTGTCATTCAATACGTTAACCGTTAGTTCATGTGGTCTACCTTCAAGACCAAGTTCTGCTGCAATGTCACTAAGTAAGTCCTACTGCTTCCGTCGTCGAGAAGGGCATTCACCTTGATTCTCCGATGATGATTAGTTACGTAGACAGGAACTGTTCTCAAGGCTACGAACCCTGACGAAGGCACTGCTCCATTTCCTGTAGTAGTAGTGTGGGTTCTCTCTTCAGACTCCCCTTCCACGGTGGCACCAACTTGCAATGTGCTTGACAAATCAACTTCTCTTGAGCCCGCTCCATTTGCTGCCTCAGTCTTCTCTTCTTTCTTTGGATCTTCATGAAGCATCCGGTGATGGTGAGAGCGACATCCATTTAACCCACAAACTCTGCTCCGAGAGCATGCTTCTCCATGGTGTCCATTACTGAGGCATCTGAAACACAATTTCTGCTCCTTAGCGACACTCCACCTCATGTCTACAGACATCTTAAAGTTCTCACAGTTCCACATGCCATGGGATCCTTTACACAACTTGCACTTGTTCCCCTGTTTCTTCTTAGGTTCGGGATCTACTTCAGTTAGGAAGGTTCTCTCTCTTGGACCCACTGAGGACACCTGTTATAGTCTCAGAAGCTGTGGTCAAAAACTCAGACTGTCAACAAACTCTCTCAGTGTTCCTACATTCTCAATGCAATGGTTGTCACTAATCCACTGCTTGTACTTAGAGAGAAGGCCTTTGTTGAACTTCCATTGAAGAGTAATGTACAATGATCCATTTCCTAGCTCGGCTTCCTGGTTAGCATCTTTCAAGTTCACAACAATTCCATCAAGCAGCTCTGAAAATCTTTCCAGGTCTTTCTCATTGTCCTCTCTTATTGGCTTAAAGGCATCCAGTTCTTCAAGGCGAAGAATGAGAGCTCTACATTTGCCGCCATACTTGCGCTCTAGATGAGACTTTGCAGCTTCATAGGCAGCAACAGAATGGCCCAAATGCTCAATTACTTTAAGGGCTTCCCCTTGAAGGCATTCACATAACCTTAACAACTTGTACTCAGGTGATGCTTTCGTGCGATCTACACAAGAATAAAATGCCGCTTTCCATGTTTCATAGGTCTTCTTTTGGCCAAAGAACTTCGGAATGGTAACTCTTTTGAGTAAAGCGGAGTCAGTACTGATCTGGTCTGAAATTGAGGACGAAAGCTGTTGACTGTTCCCAGTGGGCACTAATTGAGCTTGGCCTCCACTGATAGGTAATTGCTGTGTTGCTGATGGAACATAAGGCATAGTACTCGGTGAGGATGCAGTTACTGCGGTAAACGGTAAGCAATCCGACCGATTCACAAAGTTTCCAACTGAAACAACAGGTAAAACTGAAGTGGGCTGCTGAGTCTGAAGGTACTGTTCAACCAAACCGGGCATAGATGTTGCATGTATATGATGGGTTCAATACTTTTTTCTGCATCCTTTTTGCTTTTTGTTTGTTATTTGGGATGGCTTTTTCTTCCCATGTCCCCATTTTTTATTACGAGCCAAAGAGTAGACGGGTATAATCTCTCTTCTGTTTATTGTTAACATCCAATAATGTTGACAAGGACATAATTTTGGATCTTAGGTCATCAATCCTTTTCGATACTCTGGTTACAGTGGTTTTGTTAGTTTCCTTAGACGCCAAGTGTGTGAAAGCTGTTTTTCTGGCTGCAGTGTTCTTTTGTTGTTTTTGTTGGCCTGAACTCCTTTTCCTTGTCTTATGGCTGTACAGAGGCCTGCAATGTTTAGATTGAAAAACCTTATTAGCGCTTGTACATAGTCTTGCTCAGCTTTTGAGCGAAGATGTTTAATGTCTACTGAAATTGTCATCCACTCTTATGTGGGCTCTGGCTCTGTACTGTAGTGACTTTTGGGCAAGTCTTTCTATCCAGGTGTTTTTTAAGGGATTTCAGCACTGCTTGGGAACGTTCAAGTTACTGTTCCAGTTGGTCAGGCTGATCGCGTTTACATTTGCGGTAGTTCTCTCATTTGACTTCACGTTTGTCAGTGTGGGTTGTTTCCTCTGTATCCGTTGATGTCTGATTTGTCTGCATAATTCGTTTTGTCAGCCTCGTGGTTGGTCACATTTATCTTTGTTTCTCCGTGATATTCATTCATGATGCAGTGATTGCTGGTTCCTGCATTGTCAGCTAATAGACCATCTGATGTTAGCAGGCTCATGGCCGTAAAAACTCAGGCAATACTGCGTTTTGATCCTTCTAGATCCCATCAGTTGCTGATAAGGAGAGTGATAGAGATCAATGCTTGGTATCACCCAGTTAATGGCTTGGTTTTTTCAGGTTTTATACATACATCGGCAAAGTTTTTTTTGGACCTCATTATTGGTATATCATCAGACAGCAAATCCAAGAATTCTAAAATTTTTTTGGTAGAATAAAATTAATGCTAATCATTCATTTACGATCACCATTAATTTGTGGCATTATCCTGTCTATTTTTCGGAAGATATCATGTATTCCATTTTTATTGTGTACTGATAATTTCCATCCATTTTTACTAGCATGTAGCACATTGTCTAAATGATATTTTCTTTGGTAAACCAATTTTCTCACCGTCTTGTACTTGTTTTCATAAAAATCAACTTACTCACTGGCTGTATCATAACTGTTAACCATTCCACAATTATGGCATACATTTGTACCCTTGTTATTTATCATGTCTTGTTTTTCACAGCATGAAAGGTATATTGTTGGTTGTTGTAATTCTTCATTGCAAAATGGACAATTGATGTAGTCCATTTTGATCATTTCTTCGTGGATAACATTTCCACAATTAAACTTAGTTATTTCACTCAATTCCATCACCAATAATATATATTGTTTTCTCTCCAAGTATTTTTAGTCTGAATCAGTTTCTTCGCAGGCTGATGGTAACCATTCTTCACCTGAAGATTGAGAATCCCAGGTTGAACTCTGACTTGATTGGCTTGATTGACTTAGACTTTGGCCTGTATTTTGGCTTGATTGGCTCGATTGGCTTGATTGGCTTATACTTTGGCTTGATTGACTTGTTTCCCATGATTGACTCATATTATTAGAATAGATAAAATTATGCATCAATATTGTATGAACAAGTATAAAGTATACTCATTTGTATCAAGTAAATTTCCAAATAAAAGGTTCTACTTTGCTTTCAAAAAAGAATCATTTTGGAAGAAACTGAAGTGATTATTATTCAAGTAATATATATGGAAGTTATACATTGGTTCTATCCGTATTGTTAAGAATATCTGTCGGCGTATATAGTCAAGCATAAACTAACAATGAAGCATCAAACAAATAAAGCAGAATTTGAGAAGAGATATGATGAAAAAAACCTGCTTACGCATAAGCTGAAATATTAAGCATTTCGTATTTGGGTTGATTAAAAAACCTGTTTTTACACGTAAGCCAAAATATGAAGCATTTTGTAGTTGTGTTGATTAAAAAAACCTGCTTACACATAAGCAGAGGGAAAGTCCTGCTGTCTTTCTGAGAATGTCACGCATTCTCTATTGTACACATGATGACACCATGCAATGAAATCGTTCTTGTCAAACCATGAAAAATTATCTACACTAATAATAAAGAAATATAATCCACCATGGTACTGTACTGTTTGTTTAAACAAAAAAAAATTATAAGATGACTGGTAAATGCAGACACCTCAGCACTAGACTGCATCAAACAAATTTGAACATCACCAAATGCAACACTGGCGGCGACTTGAAAATGAATCAAACTTCAAGATGTGTCAAGCGTGTCTGCTAAGTGTCGGGACTATCTTATGGGTCGTCTGTGAGGAAGCAAGGATCACTGAAAACCAAGTTGACGGTTAATGGCGATTTATTGCTTCAAATAGTAACGATCATAAACTGAAATAACAATATAATGAATTTCTAATCAATTTTCTTGAAATGCTGCGCAACATAAGATCAAGGGGGCGTGTAACAATCTACGTGTCTACGTCGATAACGCGACAAGATAACAACGAACAGCATAAATTAACATAAATCATTATAAACTACATTAAAACTACTCGAGATTGCATAAACAATCAAAAGATGAACATTTGCGGCTGAACAACAGCCCAGAATAGCCTAGTCTTAAATGTGGGCATTCACTAAATGAGGCTCTAATTTATGCGATGTTCTCTTTTTGAATCCAAGACAATCAAAATTGTGTTATGTACGATTCTGTACATATATCTGCTTTCGCCCAAAATAGAACAAACTAAATTTAAACAAACTAAATAAGACTACAAAAATCACTTACATATCGGTCCCACTTGTGCCAAGGTTAGGAAACGAAGAACAGCAAAGGTACTACTAATCAAGGCGAAATCTTACAAAACTCTGTTAAAGGACGCTAACTAAGCTTTTATATGTGCGTGGTGACGCTAAAAGGTCCGATTACAAAACCAATAGGAAACTAAATAAACATACGTAAGCATTGTAACTAAGTTCGTTACCAAGACCTAGGCACGCAATCAAGCTAATCGATAATTGATCTAATAAAAATTGAGACTTTGTCTAGTATCCTCAACACCAAAGATTTTCCAAAATTGGAAAATGAATTGATTGATGAACCAAAAACTTCAGCTGAAGTTACTGCTGATTTTATTGAATCAAATGGTGACCATAGGCATAAGAATTAATACCATTATGAAGATATCTTTTATCATCAAAACATGATAGTGATACTTTATTCAATTTATAAGATCCGATTGTATGATGATCTGACGTTATTGTTTTTATTTTATGATACATTTGTGTGCCATCAAAGAGAGTGTTTTTGTAGTCAGCATGATTGATATTCTTTTTGATAACGATTTTCTTGATTCCTTTGGCAGTTTTACCTTTTTTGCCGTTGTCGTTGGTATGAGAATACATCTTACTTGAATTCAGTTATTATTTCTCCAGCAGCTTTATCCTTGAACTTTCCGATTACTTTCTTATTGGTTT